GTATTTCTGCAGAGGGTAACGCACGCACTGACCCTGACCGCCCTGGTGCTTAAGGTGCTGGAGCAAGCACAGTTATCCCATGCCTTTTTCAATCAATCCGCCAAAGTCTTGGCAAAAAAAATCACTATATCAAACACTGACGCCAAATTGATTTCCAAACATGTCCTGACTGTCAACAACATGTTTCGACCCTGTCTTTAACAGTAAACCCTAGAGGTCTACTGTCCCTACAGTTACGGCAGACCAATGTAATGCATATTCCAGAATTTGGTTGCTTAAAATATGTTCACATGTCGGTAGATACTTTCACTCATGCTATTTGGGTGACAGCTGCAGCGGGTGAAATTAGTCACCATGTCCAGGCTCACTGCCATGTCGCTTTCGCAGCGCTAGGCATCCCAAAGGAAATAAAAACTGACAATGGCCCCGCCTATGGTAGTCACTCTCTTCAAACCTTTTTTTCAAACTTGGGGTATCCGACACATCACAGGCATTCCTCATTCCCCCACAGGGTCAAGCCACTGTTGAGCACACACATTGCACCTTGATAACACTGCTAAATAAACAAAGAGGGGGAGACACCCAGGAAACACCACAGAACAGGTTGGGAAAGGCACTTCACCTATCATTAACCTTTCCTCACAAAGAGGTACCACCCGTAATAAAACATTACAAAAGTATGAATTCCATGCTGTCATGGGTGCCACAATCAGAGCAAGCCTTAATGATGGTAAAAAAATTAAATACAGGTCTTTGGGAGGGACCCCATCCTCTAATAACTTGGGGTCAAGGGTATGCTTGTGTCTCCACAGGTCATGGACCAAGATGGGTACCAGCAAGGGGGGTAAGGCCATGGTTGGCCTCCTCCTCACAATCTCAGCTGTCACCGGTTATTGCCAGCCCTGGGTCTCCATCCAACCACGCTGCAATATCTGTGTCACCCTTGCCAACATGACAGGACAAGAATCGATGTGTCTGTCCCTGGCCAGTGCTAACGACCCGTTCGCAAAATGTCTGGTGGGGAACCCAGCAGATAACAAAAATTGGACTGTCTACTTGCTGCAAGCGCCCCTAGAGCCACAGGAATTAGATATCCTGGGATGTGTAACAGCAACAGCATGTGTAAGGTTTAATTGCTCGGACAAACACCAAATCATGAAACAAATGGTCAACACCACACTTGCTCCTTATTGCAATGCATCTCTTTGGTGTAATTATACAAAACTATAATAGCATCATTCTTTGTGCCAGAAGCCACTCTGCTCGACTATGGAGCGGACACCCCTAGGTGCACCCAGAGCATTTTCCTTGGAGGGGTCTCCACTCTCAGCCACTCACCACAAGAGTATGAATGAGAAGTGCAAGACACCTCTTTGCGTGATTGTGCTCTGCGAGGGAGATGCAACATCGCTGCAAAGCAACGTCCCTAGCACTTAGTGGCTTGTTGACTGATGTAGATTCTAGTAGGCACGCTACTTTACAATTGTAATTCTGCTTGTGATTTTCACCCTGTTGCTTATTGTACTTTGCTTATTGCAATGTCTGCAGTGCTTGATAAAAAAATCTATAGAAAGCATTCGGTTGGTTGAAAATAAAAAAGGGGGAATTGTGGGAAAGGAATTCACAGGTGGCTTCGCACTGTTTCACACGTCCCTGAATTAGAGATAATGAGGAAACAAGCAGTAGAAACAAAAACTTGATCAAGGTTGAGATAAAGTAACTGGGCTACAGTGTTAAAGATGAGCTTTGGGCAGTGGCTGGCTCGAGGCATGTGTCTGAGGGTCTCTAACCAATTGTATGACAGATTCGGGCGCGTGGACAGTGTGTGGGGCTACGGGGAAAGTATATGTAGTAGTGAACAAGGGCAATAAAGGTCTCCTGTTCAAGAGCCATCAGGAGTCCATGTCTTGCATACCTTCACCCAACAATTATGAAGGTAAATCTTTAAAATCTGAGACTGTGGGCAGGGAGGGAAAGACCTCAGCAAACAAAACTAAATCCAGTGCAGTGTTTTTCCACTTCACAAAGTGAAACGATCTGTTCCTAAAATAAGGCCTCCTTGGTTTTCTGGCAATTAGTGCCCTGAAAGATTAGCCTACAATCCTTGGCAAGCATTTGCCTTTTCCAACCAATGTCACCATAGAAATCTGTGTTTACCTACAAGGCCCAGGGGATAATTTATAAGCTGAGCTGAGGTCCTGCATTCACAGACAAATGTTTCACGCTGTCACCCACCCTCCTGTACAAACTTCCTCCCCATCCACCCACCTCCTGTCCCCTGAAGTCCTGGCAGCATCCTGCCAGAGGCATGACGGATGCACTTCGCAGCCTCTACATTAAGCGTTTGCCCAATAGTTTATGCTGATGTAGGAAAAAAAAAAAAAAGTTACTGAGGTGGACATCACATCATTAAGCATCTGAAGTTAGATTTCAGAAATTAACCAAATGCAAAGATGAATTCATTACTGTCCCACATTATGAGACTGAGATTATTTCTCCCTTCAAAAATCTATTGCACGCTCTATAATTAAATTATCGTGGTCAATGAGATTTAGATCCTACGCTCAGGATTTGTTAGAGATTATGTTTTGTAAACCTCTCCTACAATCGAGATGTTCCCTTCTCATTTTTTCATCTCCACTGGAAGAGGTTTGAAACTACTCTAGCCCTGTTGTAAATCGAGTGATTCAGCCAGTGTACATCAGAACACAAGAGTAAAATTGGTGAAAGTGTTTCATTTCTAAATTAATTTTCTCCTTATGCATTAGAACTTCAACATGAGAATATTAAGCTTGTATTTGTGAGAGTGGGAAGCTATGCTTTAAAGAAAATTCATATGAATCCTTGTCTCGATGGTGAACTGATAGTATGGTGCATGACAATGAATTCATTATTTAAAAATACTACTAAAAAAAAAGACTCAGTCTTCCAAAGCATTTATAAGTGTGTCCAGGATTCCTTACAACACAGCCTACCGCAGGATAGACAGATCAATTCTCAGATCTTCTTAGGTATTAACAAAACGAGGCTCAGGAACACCATTATTAATTAGGGTTGAAGAACATACATGTTGAAAATGAAACATTTTCCCTCATAAGAACTCAGTCTTTTTCCCATTGACAAATTATCTGGAGCTCCTCGAGCTTTGTGGATACTGAATTTGCTTCAGGTCTATACCTGGTCACAGTTGTTCACAAGCTGCACCAGAGACCCCACCACCAGTTACCTGATATTTGAGATCAGCTGCTTCCCTCTACCACACTGAATATTGGATGACACAGTATTTATGAAATACTTCTGCTCAAACCACTTTTTGTTTCATCTTCGGAACAAATGATCTCTGGATTCAAACCTCTCTTTAGTTACAAAGCCAGAAGGCAATAGCCACCAGAAACTTTGACTGGGACAAAACTCAGCTGGTCTGAAGACGTGCAAACCAGTCAGAAGAGCCCATCAGCTGGCTGTCATCCAGAGCATAGCCCATCTCGCTTCCAATGGCTGGTCCCTGCAAGTTGCCCCACTGACATCAATTAGACTAATTTTAGAATAAGGGGCCAATCAATGAATAATGGAACCTAGCCATCAGTTTTCAGTTTGTGAACAAGTTTTTACATGTCTATCATGAGTAACCTCAATAAGAAATGTTCTTTTGATGGTGTCACTTTGGAACAAAAGCATGCAACAAATGGCATGTTTCTCTAGCGCGTTCTCTGTAACAATCACACATCCAGGCAGCTAAACTTTGAGACCAAAGGTTGCGTGCATTTAGCCAGCAAGGAAGTGCAACAGTGTTTAAGAAAGGCATTGCCCGGAGCATATCATTATAAAGAAATAGAATTCATGAATAAACAAACCAGATGGAAATAAGCCAGATGAATAAACATGAATAAACAAACCAGATGGAAATTTCATCCCTAGAGTTCTTTAAAAGACATTTAGATGTAGAGCTTAATGATATGGTTTAATGGAGGACTGGTTAGTGTTAGGTCAGAGGTTGGACTAGGTGATCTTGAAGGTCTCTTCCAACCTAGACAATTCTGTGATTCTGTGAAGTCAAGCTAGGGCATTCACAGCTCCTAGTGCAATGAAACCCTGATCTTGCTCAAAAGTTTTTTTCTTACAAATAACAAATGCAAAAACATTAACATTGTATCATTGTCAACTGTGAAATGTGTTCATCTGATTTGTGTCAATATGGAACAATGCTAGGGCCGCATGGTATGATGAATGTGACCTTCTGTCTTACATACCCTTGTATAACCACAAGTCTAAGAAAAACAGAGGGGTTAATGTATATAGTTCTTGTATCTTGCAAAGGAATGTTTTAGCAATTAGTGTCACTAGAGAGCTTGAAGGGAAATGTATTTGTAGGCTTTTCCTTGAAGTCTCTGATATCTGGGGGGTTTCAGAATAACTGCTTACTATTATGACTATTGCATGGGACACTATGCAAGTCTCTGATATCTGGCCAGATTAAGGAGAAGGGGAGAGCTGAAGAACGACTAAAAGACAAAGCTTGCAGGGGATGCTGCACAAGTCTCTGACATACAGCCAAGTTGGACAAAGGAGAAGGACAAGAGGGAGGAAGACTATGAGACTTAAGCATGAGAGACCCCCAGAGGGCCCACCGGAGACTGATATGCATGCTCCAGTAGGAGGGTTTGGATTCCAGAAACTAATTATAATAACCCTGTTTTTTTTTAGAAGTAGTAATGAATATGTATTAGCCTAGGAGCATAAAAATCAGCTGCTTGATGTAACTAGTGTGCGTCTTGGTGGAGCAGAGACTCCCGGCGCACCCAGCGCTGTTTGCTTACCTCTATTCCTTTAATAAATTGTAAACTTTGATTATAGTCCTATTTTGAAGACTGAGCCATTTATAACACAACCATGCCAGAATCCATTTGCATCCAAAAACCCCAATATGCAATAGTACAGTTCAAATCAAATATTAACATATTCTTTTATTTCTCTACTAGTTAAAGTACAGATTGACTGACCTGATCTGAGTCTTTCACTTGAGCATTTTTCCCTTTTCTGCAACCACAACTCATGAGCAGTTTCACATCTCTGATGACTTTTCCCTACAAGAGAGAAGGCAAGAAAAATATCACCACAATCTGAACAACCAAAGAACAAGATGTTTTATGATGAGAAGCATGGCAAGAAAGGGCATTAGGAAAACCTGTGGACTCATCCTGCACTGCTGGTAGATGCCCTTTCATGACACAGTAGCTCCCAAGCTGCTAAGGAGACTTCCCCAATCACTGCATCAGGAAAGTCACACAGGGGCAGAAGGAAACCAAGGTGTGTAGAAGAACACAATGGGAATATGCACAAACCAGGCTGAAAAGGAACAGGTTATTTTAGCCCAATGTTATGTATGTTATCATAAACATACATGAACAGGAACAAATCAATCATGTTCAGGGAGCACAACTGCCAAAATGGAATGGCTTGAGGCAAAGCTCATATACCAGCATTCATGTTCCTCAGACAGTGCTAATTTGTTTCTAGTGTAGCTAGCTTTGGCAAAATGAAGACCTACAGGTATAACTTACCCACATTTGGGCAACTGGTCCATATAACCACCAGCAAATACTTGCCAGGAATTCAACAACCCACCCGCAATATTTCCATCTGCATCCACAACATCCATGCTGTGCTTTGTCCAGGGGAGATCTCCAGAGAAACAGAGTCCCCTCAGCCTCCCTTTGCCTACAGTCAGCAGTTTGGGAAATAAGCTGAGTCCAGCCAACTCCTTTTCACTGCCAACCCATCAGGTTGATTGAGCACGGTCTGAGCAGCGGGGTCCTCACGATACCCTGGTTCTTTTCTAGCAATCATTTGGATCACTTCAGATCTTCACCAAAGTTTTTGGGGGGCTTATCAGGACCTGATAAAACTTGATAAGTCCCCATGGCAGAAAGGGGCTGAGATTCTAGGTTTGGACACAATGCTGCTTGAGCTCAAACAATAACACAGACAACTGAGTCCCCATAAACCCATCATATTTACACACTTTCTCACAGACATGCACCAAGACATCACCTTCCCCCCCCCAACTTTTGCTGTCTGCAGCTGAAAAATAAACACTCTCAGCATCGTCTGGGCAACAGAGGGAGAGTTGCAAGATTTCATCAGGATTACTTTATATGGAAAAGAAGACCACAACATTAAAGTGGTTAATGAGTTTAGCCAAGTGGAAGCGCTCTGCCCTAAATGATGAGGAAGGGAAAGAGCATGATTAGAAGAAATTGCAGCCATTGCTCAACACCAGGGCACAGCAGAGAGCTGACCCTCAGTGGCAAGAATTACAAACAGGCAGATAAACTTCAGGACACCTTGGGAGGGCCAGGTGTGGTGGGGTCTCTCACTCGGTGACCTCAGTATCCCATAAGCTCCAGGAAGACCAGATGATATGCAAAAGTTATCCTTCCTCCTCTTCCCCAAAAATACACTGAAAAATACGATGCAGAAAAGGCTGTGCCTACTCCTTCGGTGATTCAGTATGAAGCATCTTAAATTCTAAAAGTGTTCTCAAGAAAGAAACAAACTAAAATTTAAAGCAATTGTATTAAATTATTACATTAGAAATGGGAAGCCAAGGTACAGGGAGAGACTCTTTTGTCTAAGCAAAGGAGCCTTTTTAGACACCTGGAGTATCTGAGACAAGTTAGAGACAACAGGACCTAAGGGAGACCCAACACTTTTCCTGAAAGACAGATGATAGATGGGCAGGATACCTCAGGGTGCCTACAGCAAAGCACATACCTGTGTTTAGGCACTGGATCCATGCATCACTAGCTGTTGGTCACCTTGTCCCAGTACCCACTGCAAAGTCACTACACAGGAAAAGATTCTCTAGGCCTTTTTATAACATAACCCAAAGAAAAAGTCCCATTTTTAGACCCTTCTCTGGCTCCTGGGATACACACCCAACCAGCCTAATTTCATGGCAAACCAATGTTTTCCTGTAAGGTTGGAAGTATCACCAGCTTTATTTAACAGAGAAAAATCACGAGATGCTGATCACAATCACTTAGACAATCAAGACCTTAGGGGGAATATTAACCCAAAAATTGACAGTGCGTTTGGATTTTTTTTCTTGACAATACAAGAATTCAGGGGCTTTTCCAGTCCCTAAAAAAGCAATCAAAAAACATCTCACTGGCTGAATAATCCCATCTCCTTCCCCATCTGCAGATGCACCTCTCTTAATGGGCATCGCCTGAGTTAGCTACTACCTCCACCTTTTTAGGAAAACCTTTTATGAACAGACGCTTAATTTGGTGATAGGTGCCTAACATTAGGCAACTAAGTTGAAAGGCAACAACAACAAAAAAAAAACGTATGGACATTTGCAGCCAGTCACAACTCCGTTTAAGAGCAGATAGAGGCCTTGTCATTCAGGGGTTTCCTCACCTACATCAGGCAGTTCAGTGGGGATAGGGAAAGGGGCTTCTGTTTGGATGCTTCTGTCTGGAACTAGATCAGAAGAAAGCATGCTTTCCGCAGCACACGCCTTATGTTACATTAAACATGCATATGCAACTTCAGCTTTTATTCAGCAATCTGAAACAGAGCCCTCCAGGGTGCTAAGGGTCAGTGAGTTTTTGTTTATTTGTGTGTTATTTTAAAGTTTCTAGTGTACAAGGAGTTTGTTAGGAGGGCTATCCTGATGTGGTTGTTGCCTCCTAACATATCCCTCCCTGCTCCGTCCAGCAGCACAGCCCTGTGCTCCTGATGCTTGCAGGGGAGGGAGAAGAGCTTCATCTCACCAGGTGCTACAGAGAAGTAAAGCAAAGAACAACTCACGGGTTGAGATAAGGATAATTTAATTAAAGGGAAATAATAATAATAATTAAATAAAGACTACCATGAACTAAACAATTTAACTAAGGGGAAATAAAGAGGGAAAGGGGAAAAGGGAGGGGAAAAGGGAAAATAAAAAGAAGGGAGGAAAACAAACAAACAAAATAAATGAAGGCTATATGGAAGTCCAGAAGAAAGAAATTACTCTCTACTTCCCACAAATGAGGGATGATTGACCACGTCCTTGAAGCAAGGCCTCAACGCACGCAGCCGGTGTTCGAGAGGAGGACCGACGTCTTCTCAACGAGAGCCCACCCCTCCCCTCTTCTTCCTGTTTCCACCTTTTATTGCTGAGTGTGACATCACATGGTATGGAATATCCCTTTGATTGGTTTAGGTCAGCTGCCCTAGTGATGTTTCTCTCCTCACATTTTGCCCACCCCCTAGGAGGGTTAGAGAAAGGCCCAATACTGTGCCACTGCTGCTCAGCAGTAGACACAACACTGGTGTGATAACACTGCTGTTCCAGCTACAAGTACAGAGTACGGCACTGTATGGGCTGCTGCCGGGAAAGTTAACATCCCAGCCAGACCCAGTACACCCGCTGGCTTCACCATTCTCCTCGCACCACGGGCTCCAGCAGTTGGCCAAAGTTTGCAGGGGAAAAAAAAGGAGGGGGGGGAGGGAAATAATAATAATAATAGGGTTAATTATCTCAGCTTCACAGGTGACAGGAACTGATCTATCACCAGTTTTAACAGCCTGTGGTCGAGACACACTGAACTGCGTCACCCAGAAGTGAAATGAGGGCCAGTCACAACTCGCTTCATGCCAGTGGCCCCAGAGCACACATGGCTCCCCAGCGGTGCCAGCCCTGTTTAAAAGAGTCAGACACAATGAGCTTGGTTTCACTTGGTGGCAAGCACCCAGCTCACGTGCTCCAAGCCCCACAAGATGAGCACCCAAAGCTGACCCTTCTGAGAGGTGACAAAGTCACACAAAGCAGGTTTTACACATCCCAGGGTTCAGCAAGCTGCATTAGGGTTGTCCTCCCACTCTCCCAAGTCTGTGGCCAGACGGGTGGGCCCAGATCAGCAGCACCATGTCACTCGCCTTGCAGCCACCAGCAAGGCTGCCTGGGCTTTACAACTATCGGGACTCTACCTACTTGGTTCACATCAGATTTCGCTGCGTTTGAGCAACAGCCACTGAAAACACTGGCAGCAGCCTCACCCCCAAGGCACTAGCGCAGCCGTTCTCTTGCACCTCCAAAGACCTCTGAGCAACAAAGCTGAAAATCCTTCCAGAAGGGGGACAGTGCCAGCAGCTGCCAAGGTCTGGCACACACAGCATCACCTTTAAATGCCCACAGCTTTGCTCCTGCCTCACCAACCAGGGCCAGGCACACACACAGCCATGCCTCACACTTCCCTGGAATGACATGGGGTTGGGGTTTCTCCGTCTCTACAGCTTTGCAATGCCCTTAGAACATCCCCCAGATGAAAACAGGATGTACAGCAAGAGTCACTGAGACTTGGGCCCTGGAAACCTGTGGAAGGACAAAGCTTCCAACGTGGGCTTTCCTTTAATCTTCCTGCTGCAGCAGCCTTGTTCTTCTCAGAGAAGCACTTCTCTGAGAGCTCTTGGTGGAGATGAGCTCAGCAGCACTTCACAGCCTCTGTGCTGTTCTTCTTCTCCTGCCTTGCACCACCAACACAGCTTTCCCACGATACCCACAGCAATTGTCATCCCTGAGCAGGCATGACAAGTATGTAAGGGAGGTGACACCATCCTTCTGACTCCTTCGCCATCCATTCAAATATCCCAGCATTTTCAGACCAGGAGAGAGCTTTTTTTAGCAGCACTTCTTCCATGCTCAGGATCGGTGCATCCCGAGGAACAGGAAATCGGGGAAGGGGGGCAGGAAACCCGCATGGATGAGCAAGGAGCTCATCTATAAGATCAAAAGGAAGAGGATGGTCTATGAAATGTGGAAAAAGGGCCTGTCCTCTTGGGAGGAGTATAGAAGGGTTTTCAGGGCCTGCAGGGACGCGACAAGGAAGGCTAAAGCCCACCTAGAGATGAGGCTTGCAAAAGAGATAAAGGATAATAAGAAGGTTTTTTTCAAGTATGTAAACAGCAAGAGGAAGACTAGGGATAATGTGGGTCCCTTGCTGAATGAGGGGGGTGTCCTGGTCATGGGAGACACTGAGAAGGCAGAGATACTGAATGCTTTCTTTGCTTCAGTCTTTGCTTCAAGGACACTCCC